TGAACTAGTCCTAAACCTAAGCAGCACAGCAATAAGGAGTATTGGGCAACTCTTGACGACGTCTTCATGTTTATCTCCAGGAAGATAATTAAGGCCATCTACAGGTGGCATGGCATAATTTGGAATCCAGTCAGTGAATGCAGTTTTTCCTCAGAATTTTTTCTTATACTTAATAGGAGATATTAGAAGAATAATAGCTGCAGGCCGATTCATATATATTATCAATACTTATGATGGTAATATTTAGCTGCTGGCACTTTAGTATATACTTTATTATGCCTTTTGATAGCACCAATAACTTTTGAACTTAACATGAGACTACAAAGAAAACACCAATCCAATGTATGTTTCATATACATATTTATATATATTTCATGTACAAAGTTACATTCTGAACCCCAAGGATTCAATAATAGAAATAAATACTGAAATAACTACACTGCTGTATGAGCTTTTCTGCTCACAGGAAAGAAGCCTCAAGTTTTAACAGACAGCAAGTTTAACGCTGTAGTATCCATCTCGGATTACAGAGGCAAGTAAAATTCAGCGTAAAGTGTCCAACAGACAAAAAACTTCCAAAAATTACAGACCATAAAATGTTTAAAATATATGTTTAAAAGATTGAGAAATGTGCATCAACAAAATTAATAAAGGAAACTTAATCCTGTTAGAGGGCGGGAGAGACATTTAGTGTATAGAAAAATGCTTTGAGGTGCAACATAGGTTGTTACAATATGGCATAACCCTGTCAGAAAAAACATTTCATTTCCATAAAGAACTGTATTTGAGTTTACTGTGTCTTGTTTTGCAGATCAGGGCCTTCACAAGACCCTGTCTCAACAGGGTTGCTTACAGGAGTGCTAAGTCAGGTTTAATCCTTTGGTAACTTTTATAATACTCACATGGAAATAAATATTCAGTTACACAGCATTTTAAAAGACACACGTTCTTTAGAACAGTTAGTATAATAAAACAGATTTAACATTTGTTTGTTACTAAGGCAGCCTATGATAAAGTGTCTACGCTCTGCCAGCTCTATCTGATCCAACGCAGGAAGACCTTTACAAGAAATGAACAACGCAGCAGCTTATACAACGCATTTCACCTTACCATGCAAACACCCTTACCCAGGCAAGTAATGTGCCGCATATTTTGTGCTCGAAATGGTTCCAAACTACTAACAAGCTGTAGCTATCAAGAGATTAGCTCCTATTTATATGATGCTTTAACCATATGAGTGTATGCATAAACACATTCTTGAGACTGAGTTTTTAGGAGTATATTGTCATCTCAATGCCTGGGGTTTTACGTGCTTTATTCATTGTTCAAAGTGACCTTAAGTAAAGAGTTTATAAATCCCAGTGCACTGTGATGAGAACAGGGACCCTTTTAATCTATTGTACCTTAGGACAGGGGATAAAGTTTTAAAATGAGAAATACAGAGAAGTGCACATGCCTTTTATCTACACCCACAGTGGTACATAGTTACACCTAGCATTTGCTTTAAAACCCTTCCACTATTGGACAGAAACAACTGTCTCCGAACAATTTGCAAAAGTTGGTCCACTGAGGTGACTAAAATGGCACGGTGAACCAGATACATTTGGCAAAAGACCAGGTACACACTTGCCAGATTCATCTGCTCTATTTGATAGCAGTGAAGCCATTCAGAGAAACAACTCAGTAATTATGAGTAAAATGCTATACAAGAACCAAGGAAAAGAATTGTGCGTTTTTTTTTTTTTTTCCTCTGAGAACATGAGACTGTGACAATCAACCAGTGAGTAAAGGCTTTGGAGACTGTGTTTTCCATAGAGCCATTAAATTTAAGATGGTAGAAAAAGCAATGAAACTGCACCCCTCAGTGAAGATTCTGTGCAACAGTTAAGACAGCATTTTTCAGAGATATCCAATTTCCTATGTTAATTCAGATGTGCTTCAAGTTCAGCATACACGTCAATATAAATTTTAAATAGGTCTTTATATAAGCATTAAGTCAGTTTACCTTCTGCACTTGTATAATTTTTTAAAAGTTCCCAGACTTTATATTTAAACCAAAGTACTTTAAGAGTGACCTTAAAGATGAATTTGGAAAGCAATTATGAACAACATGCTCTTATCACTTTTGGCATTCTGAAGAGAAAAATACTACCAAGATATTACATATCTTTAATAAGGATTTTACTACATAGTTCATGTCCTAAATACATATTTACGAGAGGAACAGCTGTGTACAAAATATGTTGCTTAAAAAGTATTTATACATATAAATCTAACCAATAGACCTGAATGGAGGTTTTCTGGTTTATCAGCTATGATATGCATTTGAAAAAGCTGCCTAAATATATATTTACACAATAGACCTCAGCTAAATGTGTTCATTTAAAAAATTAAGAAAATATATAAACACATGTTTGCCTGATAGACCAGAACTGCTCCTATTGCATAAAAATGTTTAGGCAGTTTTAAAAAAAGTGTTAATATATTTAATTTTCTGAAACTGTTCAGTTTTCTCACATGATCAAATTACTAATTTCTCTGCTAATCTGAACAGAACAGTCCCAGTCTTTTGGGGGTATATACTCGATGTTTATTAGAACCCCTCAAACTTTCACTTTCCAGAGACTATAATGGAAGAACAAATCTGGGTGTTAAAATATTTTGAAGAACAGAAGCCATGAAGTGTTTAACTTAGCTCTGATACTAATGTAGGAAATTCAATGTAAAAGGAAGACAGTCTTCAACTCACGCTTATGGTTAAAAAAATAGATGGTGAGTAGACAGAATGTCAGCCTGATATTAGAGTCTCCTGACTTTCATCAATTTAACCACTCTCAGTGTTATCTGGTAACATGGTCTCTAAACATGATTTTTTTTTTTTTTGACTAAATGGAGTGTATGCAACAAAACGATTTAATATAGCTATACCTAATTATCTGGCACTAAAGTTCCTTTACAATCTCATTTAGGCAGAATGCATTTTTTCCTGTACACTCTCAGTCTTTTCTCATGCTCTAATTGAGGTCTCTAACCTTCACACCTGTAGTGCCTCATGAGTTTGACCAGCTAGGCAGAGAAGATCATTCTAGTGCTTAGGACATATGGATTTAAGACAAGAAGAGAACAAAATATATCCCCTGTTCAAAAATTTTACAATTATTTTCAAATTTAAATCATCTTAAGAATACCCTTTGAAAACTGAGCTGTTCACATGTATCCATGTCAGGAAAACACTGTGCTCAAAATTGCTCATTATTGAGGGCAGCAGTTCTCAAGCTTTAAGGTTTAGCAGTCAAAACATGAAATTTTATTTAAATATTGTCATCTGAATTTCTATACAATCCCCTCTTTCCCCCAGAAGTTTTGATGAAAGTGACAAATGAAACTGTATACACTATATAAGCAAGATTTTTCAGGTTTGAAAACAAAAGCTGAAGTTTACAGTTTGCTTTAGCCCTCACTGAACATATGGATGAATCTTGACAATTCATCTGATACTAATTTGTCAATTTTAAAATACTCTGGGAATAACTTTGCTGTTTTACTCAATGCATTATACAGATAAATGAAGCTCAATTGTAATAAAGCTGAACTCAAGTAAGACTATCAAAAAAGTGAACTAGGTCAAGATTGTTGTGGTACAGTAAAACTAAGTCTGGATTGCTTACTATGGTGTACACACCAGTTTTGAGAAAGTAAGTTCTGGTTTCATTATACTGTTCCATGTAACACGGGTGCAGTAAAACAGCACAAGCTAATTCCTGTATAGTTAAGGTATGACAGATTTGCAGTATAAAGTTAAACAGCAAAGAAATGCTTCAACATCATGTAGTGAAACAGGTTTCACAAAATAAAAAAACATGCAGAAGCTTTTTTTTTTTTCCTTCCTCCTCTCCTCTTTAAGGTCTCCAGCTGCATCCTACAGGCTCACTCACTGCCATACATTACTTGCCACACTATCAAGTGACTCCTCTCAGCTTTGGCTACAGAAGGTTCAAGCTGTAGAGCTTCTCCAAGGAGTTCAGATTCTCCACCTTCATCGCCTGAAAAACAACAGCTTTGATTCAAGCAGATACAATGAGAAATATTAACACCAAACAGAGAAAGACAAAGGACTATTTGATTTAAAAGAAAAACACTACCAAAGACAGTTTTGGCCATCTGCTCATATAAGAGCACATTCACTATCTTGAATCTATACATTACAGACTGAAGTTTGTTTCATAATTATTTCACTACAGAGCCCAGTGTTCTGATGGTCATATTCTTCAGTTCTTTCCTGAGCAAGAATGAGCAGTAATTGAACGCAAATAAGACAATGAAACATTCGTTTGATGAATGACAAACCTTCTTTTCCCCTTCTTTCCTCTTTTTCTAAAAATTCTAGCTTTTTACAACAACTCAGCACACACTGGCACAAGACAGCCTTAAACCTATCCTCCGTTATAGTTATTCCAAAAAGAATAGAAGTTTTATGACTGCGTCTAAACCCTTTGTGCCATGAGCCAACTTGGATCAAAGGTAACAGACTAAGCACTAACAAAACTGCATGCAGACAGTCATACACATCATTACAGAGGCAGTCTGGTGGTACAGAAGAATGTCAGCTGAACCAGATGAAATGGGAGCGGACTGACAACTTGAGAAAGGTTTCCAGGCACAGTTTGGCTAGTTTTCTAGTTAAGACTGCTTTGAAGGTCAGAGGAATCTAAACATACAATGGACTGAACTAGCTCTTGAGCCAGTTGGCTGCATTAATGAAGTAATGGCTGAGCTAATGCAGCTATACTGCTCTGACATTTAAGGTCATGTCTTTGCATCCTGCCTCCAGGATAGCACAAAGCACATTTGGTATGTGGTTATTCTAGCCTGCTTAGAACAAGCTCAGAGCTTTTAATACCTCACTGCAGTGTCGCAGAAGTGCCTCAAGTCATGCCTTGAGGCATTGTGCAATTCCACTAGAGTTATGAGCAGAAACTGTTTTTCACTGAGTAGAGGGATGACAGAATTTGGGCTGTCCTTCATGGAATGCACAAATTCCTCCTCTATTAGGGGTGGGGGAACCAAAGACAAATTAGGTAGAAAGCCAAAATTAGGTCTAGGAGTTGTGATTCCCTGGGGGGCGCTTTCGGTCAAGTCCTCCAGTTGCAGATGCTAAACATCCAATCATAACCACTCTCATTTTAGTATATTTTCCAAAAACTTTCAATACAAAAAAAAAATATATATATATATCTTGACACATCAGGTCCTTTACAGGCTAGATTCATGCAAAAGTGCTACCAAAGAATAAGCAGTTATCTTTGTATGCCCTTCTTATTTTGATCACAGTGAACCACTTTTTCCTGCTTTTGCTCATATATGAGCAAGTTTTAGTTTGAGTGTCATTCATTGACTACTTCAATATGCAGACTGATTACAACAAGTCATATTTAACTAAGGGCATATTTTCCACCAATTTGAGATAGAAGAGAACATTTTAACCTTTCAAAGACTTAAAACAGGTGAGGTGGCACATGACTCCAAAGCAGGGCTTCAAATACCTTTATACAGACATCTCTCAGAAGTTATGGTGATTGGGAGGAGAGGAGGGAATGAAGTGGGGAGGGGGAACAGGGGAGATAAAGATGCCTCTAGATACACAAAGGCATAATAAATACATACCGGCTAGCCACATGAATGCACTCTGGAATCACAATGGATAATATAGATACATACAATACATTACATGGCTAATGACTTAAGACACTTTACAGCATGAAAAATTCACAACTGCTTTTTCAAGATTGACAATTCTTACCCATTCTGAAGTCAATATATCCCTCTCCACCACTTATCACCAACATTGATTTTAAGGGACTCTGGTTTAAGGACTCTTGGGCTGGTTTATCACCTGCTAGCTCCGATCCACCACTACTCTGTGGGCAAACCACCTGTCCTGCATTAAAAACATACAAAATACATTTTTACGCCACATTCACAGATTAATTAGATACAAAATACCACATGTATTTGGGCTTTGGAATGACATATTTAATGCCAAATCATACACTCAACTTCGGATTCTACAGAAACTGTTCACAAAGGGGCAGAAAGCTGGCTATGCTTAGATTCTCCTTTATCTCGCTAAAGAGAAGAAATCAATTCAGGATAGTTCAACATTAAATTAGAGAATGAAGTGCCTCTTGTTAGATTTCCCAACACAGACATGCAAATCTAGAGATGACGCTGAAACAGACCTAAGGACGTTCAGCTGTGCAACTAAAATTATTCATCACATGCCAGCTTATTCGGTAAACTTCTGTTGTTCACATCCCAGCACACCTACCGCATACAAGTGCTGAGAGGGTATTTAACCAGCATTGCAGCTTCTAGAAAATCCTTAGCTTTTTCAATCAAGATCCTTTCCTCTAGGGGCTTATCCACCAGCAGTTTTTTTCCTTCCTGCAGGATGCCCGATTCTTAAATCGGAGTTTTTAATCTCCATTATCAGCTGACCATCATCTTAATAGCCAAGTACTCAGTTACCAAAGTACCTCTTCCCAGATGAAAGCCAGGCACTTTTTTCCTCCGGACCAATTTCCTTTTCTCCCATTAAACCATACTGCTTTTATGAGTCAGGCAAGTCTTGCAAATCAAGAAATAACAAATTGTTTCTGAACGTACAATTTCTTTACTTGTTTTCTTTGCCTAGACACTATGCTTGACCAAGCAAGGGAGGATGAAAAAGAAACCTCTCTTGAGGAATGGTAATAAAAAGCTCACCAGGTACTGCGACAAAGAATTTAACAGCATCACGGTGCCCATGGAAGCAAAGCTGTGCATGTGCCATTGAACAATATGGTATGAACGTTCCAGGAGTCACTTTGTCACTGTTTTCATCTCCATATACACGTATTACACTCCCTGGACGGTTTCCGGAACCTGCTGCTGCCTTATTAGCTGTAAAAGAAGAAAAGAAGCGTTCTCTACTTGAAAATACAAATTACAGAAATAGTTATTTGTTAAGAGACCTTATGATACCATCTAAAAGCTAAAGCCAACTCAGATAAAAATGAAACAGGAGGGCAGCATTGCCAATTCAAGACAGAGCTGGAAAGAAAAGATTGCATGCTTCGTTATTTTAAGTACCTCAGAAAATGGAGCAGGATTCTTATTAGTCTAGCATAAACATCAAGTTTTAATTTCCTACTTTTGAAAAAATAATCTGTGAAAGGACTGTATCTTTCACAGAAAATACCTCTACTGTGTTTCAGTGTGAGCAAATTTAACATAAACATATAATTAAATGCATTTTTATTCCAACTAATCATAGGGTATCCCCTTGCCAGCAAAAAAAAAAAAAAAAAAAAAAACCCACACTAAAAAAAAACACCTATAGGCATGAAGGGGCTACCTCTTAAGAAT